ACTAGCTGATGAGGTCGAGAGCTCATTTCCAATCGCATCCGAAATTTTGCGAAAGTGTATGTACGTGGACGACGTACTTGCTGGAGGACACAGCATCGAAGCAGCGATTAAAGCTCGAGAAGAAATATTACAGATACTGGATTCAGCAGGGTTCCCGTTAAGAAAGTGGACTTCGAACTCCAGTAAAATACTTGAAGGTATACCGAAATCTCATTTACTCACCGACGATTTTCTAGAGTTGGAAGAGTCTAGTACGGTAAAAGCACTTGGCATCAGATGGAATGCCAAATCTGACTACTTCTACTTCACAGCAAAACCAATAGAAAATCGTGACGTCATCACTAAAAGAGCGATACTTTCAGCTATCGCCAAACTGTTTGACCCGCCCGGTTGGCTCGCTCCAGTGGTAATTGTCGCCAAGATCATTATGCAAAATATTTGGTTGGAGGGAACTGGTTGGGACGATACCGTGTCTCCGACCACATTAGACCGTTGGCAGGCATTTATGCACGACTACATGGACATTAATACCATTCGCATACCAAGATGGGTTCACTTTACGCAAACAGATGACGCCGAAATACATGGATTCAGCGACGCTTCGGAGAAAGCATACGCGGCGACTGTTTTCTTGAGAGTTAAGACTGCGGAAAGAGTTGTGGTCAGCTTTCTAATCGCAAAAACAAAGGTAGCGCCCGTCAAAACAGTATCGTTACCCCGTTTAGAACTTTGCGGCGCAGTTTTGCTTTCGGAAACCGTAGAAGCGGTCGTCGAAAATCTGAGTCTTGGACATTTGAAAATAAATCTCTGGACAGATTCGACAATAGTCCTCGCATGGATCCGGAAACCACCGTGTTCGTGGTCAACTTTCGCTGCTCACCGAATAACAAAAATTGTAGACAAGGTGGGAACCGAAAACTGGCGTCATGTGGATTCGGCATCAAACCCAGCAGATCTGGCGAGTAGAGGACTTTCGGCGAGTGATCTAGTCAACAACTCCTTGTGGTGGCAGGGTCCTTCTTGGTTACAAGAAGACTATTCGAGATGGCCAGCACAAGAATCGGACTTTGACACAACCATTGAAGAAAAAAGGGTGCATGTTCATGCAACCACAAAAGTAAAAGACTTTCACGACATTCTCGATCGATTTTCTGATTTATCACGGGCTTTGAGAGTTATATCTTATATTATGAGATTCTATCAAAGAATCAATCCCAAAACGAAATATTCCTTTAAAGCGGAGTCTCGTTCAATTTCGGCCAACGAAATTAAAACAACGACCCAACGCTTAATAACAATTTGTCAAAAACAATATTACAGCGAAGAATATACAAGCTTAAAATCTGGAAAATCCATCGACGGAAAAAGTGAAATCCTGCCTCTTAACCCGTTCATCGACAAAGATGAGATTCTGAGGGCTGGTGGTCGTCTGAGCGCATCTAGCGATCTGTCCTACAATGAACGTCATCCTATCATTCTTCCGTATGGATGTAGGATGTCCCGTCTCTTGGTCCAGTTTATCCATAAAATTTCCGTGCACGGAGAAAACCAGCTGATGCTGCGACTTATCCGATCGCAGTATTGGATTCCCAGAGTGAAAAACTTGATACGGTCCGTCATACATAACTGCAAGGTCTGCACGATCCACAAGAAACGGTCGCAAACTCAACTTATGGGAATCCTTCCCAAAGAACGCACAACCTTTTCCCGTGCATTCACAAACACGGGGGTGGATTTCGCGGGCCCGTTCGACATCAAGTCCTACCGGGGCAGAGGATGTCGCATGTCAAAAGGCTACGTCTGTCTCTTCGTCTGTTTCTCGACGAAAGCCATTCACCTTGAAGCTACCAGCGACCTTAGCACCGCGTCCTTTCTAGCCGCTTTCGCAAGATTCGTTGCTAGACGAGGATGTCCAAAAAACGTTTACTCCGACAATGGTACTAACTTTGTCGGAGCCTCACGATCTTTACGATCGGAATTCAAAGCATTTTTAGCTGAGGCACGCAATAGCACCCTCACTAAGTACAGCCATCAAGCCTTAGAGTGGCATTTCATACCCGCTGCGGCCCCTCACATGGGCGGTTTGTGGGAAGCTGGGGTGAAAAGTTTCAAAACCCACTTTAAAAAGGTCGCGTCCGACCACAAATATACTTTTGAAGAGTTCACCACACTCTTATGCCGTATTGAGTCTTGTCTCAACTCACGACCACTAAGCCCCTCTTCAAACGAACCGTCTGACCTGGAGCCGCTTACCCCCGGTCATTTTCTGGTCGGCGGGCATCTTCTTGCCCCACCCGAAATCGATGTAAATGAAAGTCCAGCCTCAATCGTAAATCGATGGCAGAAACTGAAGGCCCTACACCAGACATTCTGTAGGAGATGGAAAATGGAATACCTCACCGAGATGCAGAAACGCATCAAGTGGAAACATCCACAAACCAACTTAAAGCTTGGAGACCTTGTCGTCGTTAAAGAGGAAAACCTGCCAACAAACGAATGGAGATTGGGAAGAATAGTCAAGCTACACCCAGGTTCCGACAACCCAGTAAGAGTAGTCGACATCGAAACAGCTAAGGGAGAAATCAGAAGGCCAATCGCAAAATTTGTCCTACTTCCGCCCTACAATGAGAACAGCACAACCTCGCAGTAAACTTCTTACCTACTCTTCATTCCACTTCACAAAAGAAACCCACCTATTCCACTTCTCTTCATCCTGCATCATCCCAAATCTCAAATTATCGCATTAACAAAAAAACCCGATTTAATTTGAGATATATATTTCTTTCAAGTATTTATATCTCTGTCCTTATAGCGCACTCGATGAGGCCGTATTCAAAGTAAACATACATAGTTTTTATTTTAAAGCTTTTAATTAGTTATATATGTATATTATGTTTCGTTTTTTTTTATGAGCGCACATACGCATGCTCAATTGAGGCTTTCAATGTAAATTTCAATGTTTACAATACAACACCTTCTAAATGTATAATTATGAATATTTTTCTTGTTTCACATTTTTATAAGAGTTGCAGAGCATTTACATAGGTTTTAATTTTCGCATGCATATTGTTTACTGTTCGAGTGTAAGCGATCAATGAATTTTATCCATTAACCAAGTTTTAAAAGTAATAGAACACGTGGGCACTGTTCCATACCTTTACAAAAAGTTATGAAAAATTTTAAATGCAGCAGGCAAAAGAATTACAAATACATACATATATCGTTAGTACAGTACGGAAAGGGCGTATCTCACATCATCGCTGATATATAAAAAGACCGTAACTAACTAAAAATCCAAAATCCTAATCTTATGCAATATACAATTTTTCAGTTAGTCGTGGCTTTTTTGTATACTAACGATATGCACAAAGGCAACCTAGCAAAGAATTTGTTCCTTTGCGTTATGGTAAACATTTTACCATTTTAAAAAATCACAAACGATAATTCAAGCATCAAAGAATCAAAATCTCAGTTTCGTTGAAAGCAATTTAAAACTGGTTACTCGTTAATAAGTTCGAAACATACAAATAAAATCTAGAAAATATTCCCAGCTAGTAAACTGTGCCCCGTTTAAGTTGATACATATTTGTACATTTTGAAACTCCATAAACAAAATTATATAACGTGATCGCTAGTTTTACAACAGCCGATTTCTAATAAATCTAATGTAGAACAAGCTTTTATAGTACATGACTTGTGGAATTCACTGTAAATGGTATGCCCCAGGTATAAGCAGCAGTTAAAAGGAAAAACATAGAATCAATTTCCAAAATAAAGTGGTTTTTTTTTGTTTTAAATTTCTTCTAATCGGTTACGAATTACATTTGTCAAGCAGCTTGGTATGCTTTTTTTTGTTAAATAAAATGCCAAGCTTATAGTGGAAGAAACGGAAACACAAGCAAGTGGTAGCTAATCAACGGAGAGTGCACACCGAGGACATTTAAATATTATACATATAAACAATACACTCTTCCAACGATATTTTGTGTTATACATACGGTGACCATAAATATGGATTCAAAATGAAGGACAATTTTTCAAAAATATGCCTACATATATTAACGTAGCATAAAAATATCAAAAGAGTATTTATGATTCTAATTTCTTAATACATTTTAAACTTTAAAAATGAATCACGTTTTCTTCATCGATATTAATCTTTTTTTTACATGAATATTTATAAAAGTATCGCACGACATATTACAATTACAATAGCTTACACGAAAAGTGAAAATCTTTAAAATATTATTTTATAGGCAAATGTTGAGTCGTTCAAAACGGAAACAATAAAATTTTTTTGTTTTTTTTGGTACTTTTCGCAGTTATTTGTCAAAAATCGACATCAAGAATCGACGTAAACGACGAGTTACAAAGTTCCCTTTACAGGAATATATAATTTGTGCAGATTGCGCTCCATAGCATCTACATTTCTACATTTCTGTGGCTCAAAATTTACTGTAGTGATATATCTTCCTTATCGAATTTTTAAAATAATGAAAAAAAAATATTCAAATGAATCTGCGTATTTGATTGAAAATCTCACTTTCCTCGACTGCGACGACAAAATGCAAATGGTAATGATAACTTTCATTGAAGTCGCCACAAGTCATATATTTTAGTAAGAGGCACATCAATACCCTTCGAGTTGTAAGTTGCTTACGTTGATTGGGAGATTTTTTCATGAGATATTGAAGAAAAGCTACAAAAAGTACCAAAAATCACTTTTTTGAAAAAATCCATCCATTGTCCGATAATTTTAAAATAACGAATAAAATGTGGGACAAATGCAGGACACTTGTGGAAAATTCAGTACATTTTCAGGTTTTTCAGATTTGAAAAACTACGCAGGACCGCCCTTTGAAAAACAGTACGGTCCTGCAAAAAACAGAACGGATGGTCACCGTAGTTATACATACATATATGTATATGCACATATTTCAGTTGCTACAATAACAAATTTTTGTATCACTTCTGGCGTCCAACGTGGGGCGCCCCGACGATGTCGGAGTCAACCCAGACTAAGCAGGAGATGGAAACACACATTCCGGAGTACTTAAATTTATTACCTCCTTCCGAATGTAATTTATTAAAGAATTGGCTGCACACCTTACACCCATCTATCGGCAAGGAGGTGTCAGCAGGCTTCGAAAGGGTAACTCGACTACTAGAGTGCCACATATACCCTACCATACAGATACTGAACCAAAGCCGGGACAAATCAAAATTTCATATCAGTCGTGTAATCGCAGAAGTGCTGCATATATTATTGGCCCAAAATGATAGTAAATGTAGGGCAGCGTTCATTAATTTCATCGTAAACTTACCACCACTCGCGATTATTTTCCGTTGCCTTTTTTCTTGGCCTTAGTTAAAATTTGTCCATGCAAGGCCTTTTTTGCCAAATATGACCAGTTCGGATTCAGTAGCTTTTTTCCGTATGCGGGCTTATCAGCTGAGTTTGCTTGGCATTTAATTGCGTAAGAAGCGTGCGCGCTGTCGCCGGCATGTAAGGGAATAGCAGATTAGCTAAAATTGCAGCAATATTGGCGCAAACACCAATGATGGTGGCAGCACGCTCCTTCTGCTCATCGGTACCCTTCAGTAACACCCACGGCTGTTGCGCTTGCATATAACCATTGCCTTGGCGAGAAATTGAAAGCATATGTCGAATGCCATCACGTAATTTGGCCTTTTCAAGTGAGTTTACATAGACACGGACTTCACGATTTATAAGTGCCAAAAGTACGAGTTCGTCCTTGGTTAGGGTCATGGCTTGTATGACGCCATCAAAGTTCTTTTCGCAAAAGACTAACGCACGATTTACAAAATTGGCCAGATTGTTTAGCAAGTCGGAATTATTACGCGCCGCTAAGTCATTCCAACTAAAGCTAAAATCTTGTCCTTCGGGACGCGCACAAGCAAGGTAGAAACGCCATATATCAGCAGGTATGCCAGTCTCCTGTGCATCATTACCGAATGCGCCACTTGCCACCCAACCCAAAACTAATAGTACGTAACTTTTTACACCTACGGACATAACTACGAGACTCATTTACAGAATGACTCGTTTCTCGGCTAATCGCGCACATGCCGAAGAACGCGCTGATAAATTCACGGTTCTATGCCGGCTATGCGGCGGAGCGCATGGCATTCGACTATGCCCCCTTTACCGCGGCAAAGCGGTCGAAGCAAGGCTGCGTGCAGTCCTGCTGCATAAATATTGCCCAAACTGCCTCTCGCAGTTCCACCGCCTCGACATGTGCAGCAGCACGGATCGATGCCACCGATGTCGCGAAAAGCATCACACCTCGCTCCATCTCGATGACTGCGAAGACCAAAGGCATCCAGCGAACGCGATCAACGACGGCGAGAGCTCGGACGGGGCACTCTCTATCGACGTTACGGAGCAGACGAAGTCGTGGGCGCAGCAGGTCGAAGAGGAGGAGTTGGAGGGGTCAGAGAGGACAGACTCTTCCCCACATGAGCGACAAAAGCGCAACTCTGGAAATGGCACACCGAGACCGTTAGACAAGTTACAACCACGCGCGGGCGACGCGGAAACTCGTTCTTTCCGCTCGCCAACGCGTGCACAACACAACTGGCGCGACGCGGAAACTCGTCCATTCCGCTCGCAAACGCGTCAACAACACAACTGGCGGCAACACGGCGGCGCGGAAACCAGTCCTTTCCGCCCGGCATCACGATCGCAACGCAAGCCAAAACGACACGACGGCGCGGAAACTCGTACTTTCCGCTCGTCTAAGCGATCGTCTAGGCTACGCAAAGCAGCACCATACCACAAAACTCGCACAAACGACAGCAACATCAATAGTCGTGCCTTACAACGCGCTCCACCGACCAGCTTCCGAACGGGCCGCCTAGTGCAAAGCGCCATATCAACGCCGATCATTCGTGCGCTTATCCCCATCGCGCCGACCGCAATAGTGCGGATTGAAGCAAGGGGCCGTCTTCATTTGGTTCGCGCAATGATTGACCCTTGCGCACCAAACTCATTGGTTGATTCGGAACTGGTGTGAGATCTCCAACTGGAACGCAACGGATCAGGACGTTGCACGGTCACCATGCGAGGAAGATACAGCAGCTCCGACCGCATTACGACACAAGCAGTCGTGCTGGACCACCATATACGTCTGAGTCCACCGTCGAACCTGGACCCTAAGGTTGCGGCCCCGTTCCAGTTCATGCGCTTGGCGGATCCGCAATTCTTCCGCGCGTCACCAATACGCCTCACACTGGGCCTCGATCTGCATGCGCAGATGATGGTGAGCGGGACCTCCCCATCCACCGTGGGTGGTCTCCTGGTCCAGGCGACCATATACGGTCTGGTTGTTTCGGGAGCCTGCCAACCATAAACGTAGAGATTAAGAAGACAAAACCACACATACACACACACTCATCACACACATACCTAAAAATTTAAATAAAAAAAGTGCATTGAAATTTCAAACCACGTCTGTTTCAATTAACAAAGTCCTTTTCTCCACAGCCTCAGATGAACCGGTCGCGACGAAAGCGTTGGCGAATAAGCAGCCCCGCGCAGTACAAAATCCGCGCTGCATATTATAGTTAGTCCTTAAGACTTTCCTCACGTGCGTGTGACGGTTGAGACGCGACTCCTTTTCTTTTTCATAGCTTGCTTACCGCAAGGGGGCCGGTATGTTTAGGTCCGCGACCTAAATATATTGCACCACCCTAATCCGCGTTTTGTCACTTGATGTAAGAGCACACAAACACATACACAAGTTACGGCTATCTTTCCAGCCGCTAACAACAAGCCCCACTGTACGATAACTATTGGAGGGGAAACTTAACGAAAGTTACTGTGCGGTGGGCTACATCCCTTTTCGTTTGTTGGCACTTCTTCACTTCTTAGAAGACAGCAAGGAGATCACGTCAGCCATCACACCACGTTCGGTAAGCCAAATCTTGTGAGCCACACTATTCAGACTCATAGATATTTACAAATAAAACGCTTTTTAATTTCATTGCACTAAAACCACTGTGTCTTTTATTTGCTCCTATTTTCGTTACATTAACTTTACGCTGGTGCGCTCCATCTTCGTGCGACGCCACTTGATGCCCGCCGACCAGAAAATGACCGGGGGTAAGCGGCTCCAGGCATGTTTAGGCGCGTCTGCTAACACCAGGCGCCTAAATACATGCTATG